ACTGGGGGGGGGGGGGCGCTTTACACGAGTCTCTCTTTAAAGAAGACGGGAGTCCTGTTTTGCAGCAATTAAATGTTTCTGCTCTTTTGTTCGCTTGGGCTTCTTATTTACTTCTGATTTATAGGGCTCTGAAGGAGTCTCTTTGCCAAAAGCGCATGTATTATTGAGTCTGTTCCACATCCTAAACCAAGATTTATATAAAACCGTGAAATACCACACATTACGACCTTTCACCACAGGAAGGAAAAAACACCATTCTACACACACACACACACACACACACACACACACACACACACACACACACACACACACCGCCCTCCTTCCCTCCTAGTTCGGTAGGGATTCTCCGTCGAATCTTCGCCATGCAGTCTAGCGCTTTTTTTTTTTTTAAGAAGTGGGTGGGGGTGGAGGGCGGTAAGCAGTTCCCGAGCTATGATTTATTTTAAAGCTTTTTTTTTTCCTCGCTAGGCGAGAAGACAGAAATCTGCCACTGGAAGCTTATTGTCATCCAAAGACTATTTCTGCCACTTGCCATTTGCAAGGTGGGGGGAGAGGGGAGGAGGAAGAGGCAGGATATGGACTCAACTTTCATCTATAAACAGGGGTCACTAAACAGGGGACATTTCATTATTGCCCTTAAATTCACAGGAGCTGGGAGCCTGCCTGCCACCCTGCAGGGTGGCCCTGTGAGACAGCCCCCAGGTCTGTGAGGTGGCAGGAGGAGGAAGAACCAAACACTCTGGCCTAGAGGCTGGAAAAGATGCCCAGGAAATCTTCTGTGCTCATGGTGTGAAATTGAGCTCCTGGGAACAGAAGGGTCTGGAGTCCTCGACAGGGAGGTCTTCTCCAGAAATAGACTGCAGGAGCCTCCACCCAGGTGGAGGTCATCCTCCTGGAAGCAACCCCCAGAGCGTGGCAACCTGGGGACAGAACAGTCCCCGGCCTCGCTCTCTGGCCTCCTCTCTCTTCAATCTTCCCGTTTTCTAAAGAGACTGACCTCACTTATTTTTGGCATATCAGTGATCTGTAGCAAAAGCAGCAGCTGGACTGGTTTATATGGGGGGGGCGTTAATTGATAAAAGTGAATGATGGGATTTAAACCAACAGCTAGTCAAAACCAACCAGAGAAAACAGCTTCCCAGCCAGCTATATTTAATTAGCAGCAATTAATACGTTTTCTGCTAATATCCTCTAGGACCTATGATTACTTATTTCCTGGGGAAAGAGCATGAAGCTGGAGGGCAGGAACGCTTACCAATGCCCAAGGCATTTTGCGTTGATAACAAGAGAGATTGCAAATTCATTTAAGAAGATGTCTGTAAACCAGTGACAGGCACACTTTGAGGCGTTTTGTTGAAACAATGGTGAAACTGACAAATGTTCTTTACTTTGAGGGAGGGGCACTTTTTTAAAAGCAGAGAAATGCTTTAGGAGAGAGAGAGGGAAAAAAGGACACGAGGTTGAAAAAAGAAAAGAAAAATTATTTTAGACTCCAGGCAGCCACAGACACAGCAGCCCTTGCAAACACATCAGCACTGCACTATTGAAGATTTGGACACGTAATGCTTCAGACCCCTGATTTGCTTTTTTTTTTTTTTTTTTTTTTAATTCTCGCTCTTCTTTTTCCATATGAATCAAACAGTCTTTTGTCCTTCAGGGTTTGATTTGACGCTACTGTTCACATTTCACTTTTGTATTTTCCTCTTCCTATACCATTACTCATTGAGTGCCCCGTGAAATTACAATCGTACATTTTCAACTCAGCAACCCATTTGCAGTGCAAAAATAGGGTCTAAATAATGGCTGAATTAGCCCTACTGGACAGTTTCAGATGTAACACTCTGTAATAATTATATTGCGGGCTGGATTAGGATGCTATTATCATAATCTGGACGTTTACAATTATCTGTAATTTGCAAAGATGCGCCAGGTCTTGATTACAGCAGTTTTTTTTTTTCTTGTATCACGCTAACCATCACTAAACAGTGACAGTAATAACAGCTAATTTTGCTGGCAATATAAGAGGTGCTGGGGTGTGCAAACAATTTCACACCTGGATGTGCTCACTCAACCAAGAATATAGAGAAAGCGCTTCTGCCCTGAGACTCAGAAAAATATTCTCCTGTGCTTCGGTTCAGGATAGATTTCTAGACCCTGATCATTGCTTAGGAGATAATCACTGAGGGTAAGTTTTTATTTCTTGCATACTTCAAGGCACAGTTCCTATGTCTCGTCTCACACTTTCCAGGCTCTCTGTGTTGTTGTAGTGATTTGTCATGGGCTACAACTTTGCTTTATGGATTTTTTGATTCTGACCTTTTATTCCCCTTTCACAGTAGAAGGGATGTTGCTCTGGTGAGTACAAGGGCTCGAGCGAGGATGGGGTCCTTTGGAACTGATGTGTTTTTCTTGCTTTCTGTGTTGTTGGTGTGTTGGGTGCAGCCTCTGTCTGAGACTGGGAGGAGGACCGTGTTTCTGTTAGGTGTTGGCTGGAGATTCCACTGTCATTCCCAGTTAATCCCGGGTGAATCCACTGAGATCTTTACATGTGGCCATGATATTAGGTTTTTAGGTGTCAAGGTATGAAAACGGAGCTGGTGAAGGGGTTCTTTAGACTCCCGGGGATGCGGACATTTGCAAAGGCAGGTGGAGTCCCTGTGACAGCTTTCTCCACTTGGGGGAAAGTTTCCAGAGCAACTGCCCTGTGAGACCCTTCAAGGCTCCACTTCAGGGCTTCTGCCTCAAGCGGGTGTGGGGGGCGGTGGGGGTAGGGTATGTGTGTCTTGGAGCTGTGACCCTCAGGGCCCAAAGGCTGTGACCTTGGGCTTGGGGGACATGACTGGCTGAGATGCAGAACGAGGCTGCGGGGACGAACCCCAGGCTGATTCCTGAACACACAGGGAAGACTCCAGCAAGAAGCCGTGCTGCTCTGTCTGTAGATGACGCTGTCTCCTGGCCCTGCAGCTTGAGGCGTTTGGTGCAGAAGCCTGGAAGGTCTGTGACTTCCACACCCTGGTGCAGCAAGGCCTTTCTCCCATGACAAAAACCTTTTGACTAAGTTGTGTCGGAAGACATTGCGATGCTTATGGGCGCCAAGAGAAATCATCCTTTCACCCCTCCCCTAGCTATTGTTCTCTCTCTCTCTCTCTCTTCTCTCTCTCCCTTCTCCCCCTCTAAAATGGAAATATGGTCAGAACTAGGATCTGGAACTCGAACTCTGCAACCCCAGGAGAAGCTGGAACGTGGGGAGGCGTCGCGTGCAGCGCCACTCGGCGATGCCTTTCACCCACGCTCCTCCTACCAATCCCACCCTCGGGAATGGCTTACTACAGGGTCAATACGTTCTAAGGAGTGAAAATATTAACCCTTGAGGTTCAGAAGACCCAGAGGAAGCCCAGCGCCTGGGACAGTCTGGGGGGAATACTTGGTCGAATTTCTTGTTTAATTAAATCCGTGTTCAGAGATGGAGATTTGGATGCAGGTGCCCAGGATCTCTCCAGGATGTTCACAGACATCTCCTGGGTTCCAGGAGTCTATGCACTTGCAGTGGTTTGGCATGGATCTGGTGATTTCTTTTTTTTAAAGAAAAATTAGTGTTGGTTTCGATGTATGGTAGCTTTCTCCCTAACGTAATTTGAATAATTCAGCAAAGCCCCACCACCAGCTGTAGTTCTGCAGCCTCCTCCATTCTTTTCAGCATTATAATTTTGGTTAATTTTCAATTTTAGGTCCTACGTCTCTGCAATTTGTGTATGAATAACAGAATAATTTCCCTCTTTTGTTTCGCCTTTCCTGTTCCTGAATCTAAATAAAGATGGCTTTTTAGTATTAAAAGTGGAAGAAAATTACAGGTAATTATCTTTGACGGTAAAAACGCTGTAATCAGCGGGCTACATGAAAAATTACTCTAATTATGGCTGCATTTAAGAGAATGGAAAAAAACCTTCTTGTGGATAAAAACCTTAAATTGTCCCCAATGTCTGCTTCAAATTGGATGGCACTGCAGCTGGAGGCTTTGTTCAGAATTGATCCTGGGGAGCTGCGAACCCAAAGTTTCACAGTAGGAAGGGGGAAAAAAGAAAAGAAAACATTTTTCCTAATGTAACAATGCGAATGCTAGAAAATGACAAGACTGATCGGTTTTAAACCATTCTGAAGACTGACTGAGCGTGGAAGTTGCTCAACAAAAAAAGGAACGGGTATATTGGTAAGTAGTCTTTGCTTTGTGTCTAATTATAGTGACTGTCCTTTTGCACAACTGTATGTCGCTGTCATTATATGGAGCACTCTGAGTATCTCTATTGACTTCTGATAAATGGCTCAGTGGTTTCAAGGTTCATAATTTGAAGGATGCCCAGGTCTGTAGCCATTAATTCTCGCAGTATGGGGTTTCCTGGTTGTATGACGAAAGGACTTTTCATTTTCATTCTTTCTGTGCTTTCCCCAGGATCGGAAGGATGTATTTCATCCAGGATAGTGCATTTTCCTACCTAGCTAGCAATGGGTTTTCAGAATTAAGTAGGCATAATTGTGCACTTTACTTTCTGTTTTTTTTTCTTTTATTCTTTCTTCTTTTTGTTAAAAAAAATCTTGCTTCCAAACAAAGACAAATACAACTGTATTTTTTTTCGGCCAGGGAAGGGGAAGGAGAATACTCAGTTTCAGTTATAGAAACTGCTGGATGTCTAGAGGCTAATCTGAGGATACGTCATTCTCAGGTCTAAAAAATAAATAAATGTGTAGAAACTACAATAAAGATTCAATATGTAAAAGAAAGCTGAAGAGACATCCGTGGTTAACATTAAAGTACTCAGGACAAAGGTTCCTGGTGCAGACTGACATCCTTACCGGTACTTGATGTTTTTATATACATAGGACTTCCCATATTAGGAAACAGGAATTATTTTAAGAGTGATAGAAAATATAATGGGGGGAGGGGAAGGGAGGAGGAGCGGTGGAGAGAGACAGAAACACACAGAGAGGAATATACAAGACACTCAGCATTTTGTGGCTTTTACTCCATATATGAAAGACAAAAACATACAAAGTATATGTACAACTAAAATTCAACAATATATACAGAAATGTTTCTTGATATAAACGTCCCTATTAGCTTAGCGAATGCCACCAATTCACCTAGTAAAGGTGTCAACGCAATAGACGTAATTTTGGTTGTTTTCTCTGTCTTTCCTGATCCCAGTTCAGGGGTTGGGGATGGGATGGGGAAAGGAGTGGTTTTGCTTTGTTTGTTTGTTTATCCATCATCATTCCTGATTCTTGCATTTTAATAAAACATGCAGCATTCCCTGTGTAGCAACATTCTAATCTTACGGCTGATCTTTCCTTTTTCTTTAGAGAAGGGCTATTTTGTGAGGGTTTTTCTTTTTTTGGTCAGTCTGGGATTGGTAAATAAAAATGCAGGAGTCCAAAATGCTTCTCTTCCATCATGTAATGTCTTAAGCTCATTAAACAAGTAAAAACGCTGCCATGTTTATGCAGATTCTTCTGGTGTGGGGGGGAATTTCTATTTTAAAAAAAGTCATTTCAATGAATACTCCCCAAAGAGAGGAGGGGGCTCAGAGCCTGGATCCCAAGGGGTAAGAGGAAAAATATCCTTACAGTGAGGGGTTTCAGGAATGCTGGCACAGAAACCAGCCCCCCCCCAGCAAGATCAGTTACAGAGGTTGCTGAAGAGAGAAGTCAAATGAGGAAAATAAAGGAAAAAAGAAAGAAAAAGAAGGTAGAAAAGAAAAAATGGAGGAAAGAGAAGGAGGGGTGAAAAGAAAAGAGAGGGAGAGAGCGAGGGAGAATGAGCCCTGCGGCTTCTGGCCACACATACAAGTTCTCCGAGTCTGCTCCTTGGATTGGTTTGGCAGAGGTGAGCAGGTCCCAGGCCCTCCTTGCCTTGTTCAGACGTTCCCCAGGGCACACCCTTGGGCAGCTCACATCATCTGTGGTCTCTGCATCGTGTCCTGGTGTGGAGAGGAGTACCAGTGCGAGTAGCCGGGCATATAGCTGTTAGGGGGCATACTGACACCCTTGGCTGAGGCAGAAACGTCCCACACTGGAGGCAGCGCCGGCGAGCGTGGTGACAGGGCCGCTGAGCCTGGGAGGGGGTCGCTCTCATGGGGGTTGCTGCCCTGCTTCAGAAGTTTCTTAAATTTGGAGCGTTTGTTCTGAAACCATATCTTCACCTGCAAGAAATGCAGCGATCATTAGTTAGGCCCCAGAAACAGCAAACCACTGCCTCTAGCATCCCTCTGAGGTTTGTAAACAATATTAGAAAATCAACAAGCCAAACAAGACCACCACCTCCAACGTGCCAACAAGCTAAGTCCCCGCCTCCTTCCACCTCTTTTTAGCCTGGTCCACTCCCTCTCCCTCTAACCCACCAGGTATCTTGTCCGGATACCTGTCATCATTGTAATTCTTGCACTGTATGCTAGTCTGGGTTTAAAACAATAGCATAAATAAGAATAAAGTAAGAAAGAAAGGGAATGAGATGACTAGGGCCAAAGTCTAGAGAAGGATTTTTCAAGGGAGCACTTTAGGAGTCAAAAAGTCTTCCAGCTGACTGCACATCCTCTGATTGTCTGTGTTGCTTTATTTTCCAGCCCTGAAAGCTGGCATCTCTATGCATGTACAGGGAGCAATGACTCTGAAGAGATTACAAGCTGTACGTTTATAACTCAGTGCTTGAATGTATCCATGCCACATTGCTCATGCCACAGACCACGCGTGCAGCATCATTCTCTAGACGTCAGTATATCCCCATAATCCTGCAGGGATTAAGGACTGCACCTCCCTCATTCCCTTCTTTGTATGTTGCTTAGTCAAACTGTGGTCAACAGTCATCACATGATTGCGAGTGCAGTAACTAAAAGTCAAAGGGCTTTTGAAAATTAACTGTGAATCAATATCTAGGCCAACATTCCGGATCTACTTTCCTTGCAGAAGGAAATTCTGTAGTGCAGCTTCCCGATCCTTTGAATTTCCTCAGTCATACGCATCTGCTTCTCCAAGAGGCACTGGAACCCCTGTGTATCAGGCCCCAAATGTTATCAGTGGCACCATGGTAAGGGGAGACAGGCTGGATTGAAAAGAGGCACTTAAGGGGCATCTGTCTCAAGTCACCACACATTCAGTCCCCAGAAACAGTCTCACAAATCCCAAAGCCTCCTTGCTGAAGATCACCGCCCTCAGACGAGGCCTACCACCCCAATTAGTCAACGAGGACCAAAAACCCACAGGTGACCGCAGCCTGGCTTTGGGACCAGGATTCTAACAGGCTCACGTAGGCTCCTTCCTGGGAAATCTGAAATATCTTGCAAATTAGTAGGACAGGAGAATTTCAGTCACTGTACTTAACCGGGGCTTTACCTGCTACAGTTTGGGCCACATTTCTCTTTGATTTCCAACTCTGCCACTGCACCCAAGTGCTGCACTCCAGGGAGGTGGCTCAGATGGCATGGGGCCTGTCATCTGGGAAATTTACCCAATTGGGTGTAGGGAAATGCTCAGAAAAACCCACCTCACCCCTTGTAGGTTGAATAGTTTGCACACTGGTACCTTTACTAAACACCACTGGAACCAATGCTTTTTTTTTTTTTTTTCTTTCTATTTCACTTCATAATTTTGTCTTTCTATGTCAGTTAATTGAAATTCTTCTTAGCTCCCAGGGCCTAGACAAGGATCCTTAGGAAAGGTGGACCTCACTCTGTGTCCTGGCCTGTGCACCTTTCCCTCTAATGTTTGTTCTCTGTGTCGTTCTGCTCTGGAATAGAATTCGATCGAATCCATGACTTTGGTCACCAAAGGATGCTAGGCTGGGGCGGGGTCGCCGCGGGTTAGGAGGATGTGGAAATCCAATCCAGTATTCAATACCAGGTCATTCATTCCATACCGTGTTGTCCCAGGAAAGCGCATAACCGGAGCAAAGGCATTGGTCACTAAGCTCCTTCCAGCCTCGGTGGACTAGGCCAAGGTTTCCTCCTGACGTGCTCCCTGCCGGATCTGCCAGCGGGACCAGCAATTCGGGGTTACTCGGGCTTCTCGGGAATTACCTGTGTTTGTGTCAGTCCTAAGGAGGCTGCCAGTTCGGCTCTCTCAGGAAGGGCCAGGTACTGAGTCTGCTGAAAGCGGTGGTTTAAAGCCTGGAGCTGCAGGCTGGAGTAAATGGTCCGAGGCTTCCGAATCTTTTTCCCTTTTCCATTGAACCTGATTTCCCCGTTTTCAATCACTGTAGTTTTTTGTTGATCTGCAAGCAAATGACACAGAGGAGCGGTCACCGTGAGGCCACTGCCGCCGTCTCCCTGCTCGTGGCCTGGCCTGCGCCGCGTCTTCCCAAGGCCCAGCACGGGTTACCTCGAAGCGACCCTACGGCGCCCGTGAGCCCCAGCAGCCGCGTAAGCTCCTCTCCGGCCCCGTCTCTGGCCCCGACCACGCATGGTGGCTGGGCCGGCAACGCCCGAGGCCCTCGGGCAACACCCGCTCCCGGTCGTAGCTGAGGCGGCGCCGGGGCTCTCGGGGCGAGCGGGAGCCCTGGGCCCAGCTCTGCGGTGCCGGGAGTTTGAGCCGCCCGGCTGACCTGATGGCACCAGCTCCCAGGCCGGCGCCTCCAGCCCCTGGGCGCGTTCGAACCGATGCTGCCGAGAGGGAACAACCCCCCAAACCAAACA